GATGAATCGTCTTGTTCAAATTTGTTAGCTAATCTTAGAAAATATAAACGAAAGGAAGATCCTTTTGATATGAAGTACAAAAATGGAAGTGAAACACCTCTTAGTTGGTGGCTTACATTTGACGATGATGAATATGATGAATATCCTATAATTGACCTTGCAACTAAAATATTTTCGATTATGCCTTCTCAGGCAGGATGTGAAAGGAACTTTTCTATTTTGAGATGGTTTTATGGAGATCGCCGATATAGGCTTGACGTCCATCACATTGAGTCCATGGCAAAAATTCGATCTTACTATTTAATGAACATTAAAAAAGAATTAATTCATTATAAAAACGATTTAACCCAGCAAGAACTGAGAGATTCAGTAAATGACACAATAATTCCAAGCATTGATGAGTTGTTATCTGATTATGAATATTTACCATTAGGGACATTAGAGGATCAAGTTAACGAATCAACTAATAATACATTAGAGGATCAAGTTAACGAATCAACTAATAATACATTAGAGGATCAAGTTAACGAATCAACTAATAATACACTCATGATTTCAGAAACAATAGATATTACTAATCTGTCATTTTCCTCTGACGGTCAATTGCAAGTTAATATGCCAACAAATAGTAATCTTGTCGAAAACCAGAATTGGCTTGGAAATTTGAATTACAACACAGAAGATTTAGTAAATCGGATGTTTGAAATGAACGATGAGTAGGATTTATAGTTAGATTTATATAAATAATATAATTTAAGCACCAAAAAAATAAAACCGATTATTATAATTGTATGTAGCGATAGTAATTTACATATTTAATATAATAAATAGTACATCGGTATATTTAAATATATCATTTATAATATAATTATTTATCATTAAATAGTTTATACGTTAGCCGTTTAATATAATTTATACTGTATTTTAACTTTTATAATGCAAAAATTAATTATCGTTTTTTGCATAATTTTAAATGTTTAAATTGCTAAAACAAAAATTATTTTAGTTTTAGCTTTTTAAATCACCAAATTAATTTAATTAAGTTGGCATCGCTA